CAAGACTCACCATGAGAAGAATTACCAGTTTAAACTACACTTCCAGATTGATTCAGAAGAGAACAACATATACTACACCCAGCGAGTCAGACACAAACACCACCCAAGAGAGACACAAAACTAATCTCGAGAAGCACACAGATGACTACACATGATGGAGATACACAATAAAACTCAACCCAGAGAGAGACACAAAGCTCACCCAGAGAGACTCAAATCACGAGAGAGAACAAACCACCCAGAGTGACGAAGAAGCAGAAGAACTGTCCACGATTGTGCCATGATGGCCAGTCTGTCCTGGATTCCGCTCTTGTGATGCTTCAGCGAGACCAGCAAAAGTGTGTTGAGTGGGTGTGTGAGAGGGTTTGAGTTAGGTGGGTGGGTGGAGAGAGAGGGGTGGGTGGGGTTGTTGGAGAAGAGTGTGGGGTTGGGGTGGGGAGGGGTGGGTTGATTTTATAAAATCAGAAATTGGGAGTGAAGGGATTGCTCGCGTTAGAGTGTTGAGTGATATTGCCTGGGGGGTTGAAGAGTGAGATGGTATAATTTTCTATTTATTGGTGTGGTTGTGTCGGGTGGTGGAGGTTGTTGGGTTTGTTATGGGGAAGAGTCTGGAGTTGAGGAAATTTTTTTCTTTTCATGGCGCGGATGCGAGTAGAGGGATTTGTGTGTGCGGTAAGGGAGTTCTGGGGTGTCACCCACTGGGTTGGTTGGGTGTGGTGGAGGTTGATTGGGGGGGAAGCTCATTCCTTCTCTTTTTGTGAGTAGATTGCAGTAAAGAAACAGTAGAGCGCAGTAAAGTACAGCATTCTGACCAAGGTATTGAAAAATAAGTTCTAAATTACCACAAAATAATTTTTATAATTTCTGGTCCGACATTTCTTGACACTCGTGTACCGTATATATATTTGAGTACATACAGTCGAAGTATTGTCCGGCCCAGTTTATGGGTCTCACTCCTCTTCCTCCTGATGAAGTGCAGTTGTTTTTGGATTTGTTTAGAATGGACTGTCAGCACCTTGAACCAGGTCAGAAACAGACGTACCACTGCACCAGAGTCAAGAAAACATCACTGCAAAACAAGTTGATTTGTTTTTAAAACGGGTGAAATAATGTCTTTAATGTTTTAGATTTTTTTTAACGTCTTTTAAAAAAGGCCTCTGTTTGGTCGGTCTTCCAGATCCAGAATCCAGACTCTGATCTGGTTTCTGTTGTGGCAATGGCGGTCCAGATGGCAGCACCGCCGCTTGCTGGCTGCACACTCTCCCTCTCTTTCCTATAAACATGTCAGGGTCTGAACACAGTCGTCTACCACCCAGCAGGAGACGGGATCCCAACTCTAAATCTCCCCTCTCATCCCTCTGCTGTTCCCATGGCAACAGCGATATTATGATCTGCTGTTGGTTTCTGCGTCGGGGGCGAGGATCTGTTCCTCTGTCAGGATTCACTGCAGTCTAATTGGTAGTGATGTGCTGTAGGACGGGCTGGATTTCATCCCAGATATCTTTAACACAGCAGTGCTGGTCCTGGATCGGGTTTTATATTCATTAAGTGTCTCAGAATCATTTCTGGGATTTTAAGCCACTCAGAACTTAAGGTAGATGATGATGTCTTTGTTTTTTCTTGGTGGTTTCACTTTGGATTCAGCACATTCAAGAGTTGATTTAGATCATTTAACACAGGAAAAACAATTAATAAAACAGAAAATGGCATCAGTTGTGGGTTTATGACGAGCTACTTACAGGTACTGGCAGAAATGTGCGCTACGACCTGCCAAAACAACCAATGAAGCCACCGCTGAGGAACGTCAAAAATCAGCCGACAATGGGGGGAACAAATCTTAATGTGTGTGCTTCTTCTCTGCGTCCACCAGGACTTCCAGCTGAACAGGGTGGCAATGGAGGAGGGGGCGGGGGCGGAGCCGTCTCCCGCCGGCGCCAGACCAAAAAAGAAGAACAGAAAGACCTACGACCTCACTGCTGCCGACAGGTTCTGGCAGAAACACAAGGGCAGGTCAGTTCTTCTAGAGGAAGAGTCGAAATAATGGATATACATCAGTATTCATTCTGCCAATAGCAGTATTTTATCTAGTTCAAGCAGGGTTCCCACACTTCTGGAGAACCTGTATATTTAGAGACTAGTTTTCCAGTCATGGAAACACCTGGAAATTGATCAAAACAATCAAATATCCTTTAAATAATTCACTGGAGTCAAATCACTGGAGGCACTGCAGAAAAAGAGATTCTCCTTGCTGGTTGTTCTGACACTTCAGAATCATTACAACAAAAGTTAACAGGCCGCTCTTCAAATATAGAGATTTAAATAATAAGATATTAAATAAATAATGAATATCATAAACCTTTGACGACTAGTCTATTATTGTCGTTATCTAATGACTGATTAGTTGACTAGGAAAATCTTTAGTGTAAAGTGTAAATAATAGGCCTACTGATAAATTATATGATGCTGTCCTGCATTGTCAAGAAAATGGCATGGAAAGGTCCTGGAAAATGATTAGTTAAAAAGAGTGGGAACCCTGATTATACATGCACCCTTCTACTGACACACATAACACATAAGAGAGTATACTCATTGCTACCACTGTTATTGGAATTTCTGGCTATATTCAAAAGACACATTGCCAGAATTACAGGCATTAAATTTAATTAATAACATCATAAGTACATCTATATACTGATGATATGTTATTGTACGTGACAAACCCTCCCTTCGGTTTCCAAATCCAACTGGAATGCTGTTCTCCAAGCTGATTTAGAAGTCTAAAATGAGAAGCTCAGTCATTGGTTAGAAGTTGAGTGTACAGTGTTTGTGTGTTACAGTCCGTTCCCAGAGGTGGCGGAGTCGGTCCAGGAGGAGTTGGATACTTACAGAGCCCAGGAGGACGAAGTCAAACGCCTGAAGAGCATCATGGTGAGACACAACATGGTCAATTAGCCAGACTTCAAGTCCAAGGCATTCAAAATCACATCTTAAGACACTGCGTACTTCATACTCTAGTCAATATGTACTGTATACTAAATTGGTCACAAAGTCATATTCAGAGGCGTTTCCAAGTCCTGTTAGAGTCTGCGAAGTCGCATCCAAACCTCCAAAATAATGTTCCAACTCACTGAGATCAGGAAGTTGTATTCAAATCACTCTGTTCATATCCAAGTTACCAAAGTCGTATCCACATATCCAAGACAGGTTACGACCAAGTCTTAAGGTCTTAAGTTCTCTAAATTATCTAATTGTATCCACTTATCTCAGATAATGTCCAATTTTCTGAGGTCATATTTAAGTTCAAGATGAGTGACTGGGTCCTACCACAGGGCAGGAATTATACCACAGTCTAACAGCCAGTGTCGTGGATGCCCCTCTCTGAGCCCCTTCCAAAATGAACTACCCTGAGGCCAGTTTGGTATTGCCCTGTTTTGAACTGGACATCAACTTTAGCATCAAATTTCTCCCACAAATATATTTATAACAAGAGACGTTCTGAAAGCTAACGCTGTTAGCATCTTCGCTGTAATGTTAACAGAGGGGCAGTTTGGTTCCTTCAGTCAGACAATAGTGGACAATAGGTTGTGGGTGTGCAGAGGTGGAGGAAGTATTCAGATCCATTAAGTAAAAGTACTAATACCAACCCCACTGTGAAAATAAAAATACTGCGTTCTGAACCTTTCTGAGTTGAAAGTATTATAGTAACATTTACCTAAAGAAATCATATAATGTACAAATGTAAATAGTATAATGTGTAATGTTTGTGGAGTTATTTTTGTATATGCATATACTCCTGGGTAGTTTTGGCCTTGGTAACTCAATACATTTGTATTATTCAAAGGCCAAAGTGCACTAAAATGACATCCTGCTACCTCAGTTTACAGTCCAACTGAGTTGATCACAGTCCAGTACATTACAGTGGTTCATCTTTATCGTTGATTGTCTGTCTGCAGGGTTTAGAGGGAGAGGATGAAGGAGCCATCAGCATGCTGTCAGACAACACCGCCAAGCTCACCTCTGCTGTCAGGTACTTTCACTTACCTTCACCAGCAGCTTCTAACTACATATGCTGCCTACAATGTTAAACAAACTGCAATAGTTCAGTTATTAGGGGTGAGGTGGACTTTTTTGCGAGTATCATCAGAGTAAAATGTGTTAATATAAAATATGTATTTATATAGAGAATAGATAAAAACGTCTCATTCTAACAAACACACCACAATTCTTATTTTCAGGTGATTATACATGAATGAAAACACACCTATAAATGTTATAATCCATTTCTGACAATAGATCCCCATCACTGTTACAGACTGGACCTTTAACATTTAAGTATTTGTTACAGCACTGGTACCAGGAAGCGGACTCACAAATGTAGTATAACTTAGTCAAACATATTTTCCATGCATGCTGATAAAAATAAAATCTACCTTTTCCAAAGAACTGTCACCTTTAAAATCACTCAGCCCCTAAAACTAGGTCACCTGGTTGATTCACGGGCTGGCAGGACAAGTTCTGTTCCCCCCTCGGTGAATATCTGCGGTCGGCTGTGAGCAGGTTTCTCAGGATCTTCTAAAGAAATAATTTCCATGATCTTCGGAGGAGCCAGGGAACATCTGATTAGATTTTTGGTTGTGATCAGGCTCTGGGATTTCCACCAGTCTGTAACCATTAAACATGAAAACCAAAACAACCTGTTGGTCAGAGTCAAGTATTTAATCAAACTGTAAAGTATAATGGACAGGGATGTTGATTTTGGGTGAAACAGCCAGTTGGAGAGTTGTTCAGTGTGACAGCCTTTCAGTACAGTAATTATTATCTGTTCCAGCAGATTAAAATGTCACATGCTGCAGTGTTGAAGTGTCTGAAGCGTTAATGTCAGTTAATGAGGAGCAGATTGAGGTGGTTTCCTTTGTTTTACTCTTGTGTGTCGCCTGCAGCTCTCTGCCTGAGCTGCTGGAGAAGAAAAGACTGATCGACTTGCACACCAACGTCGCCACGGCCGTCCTCGACCACATCAAGGTACACCGCTGTCCAATCCAGTGAAATCACTGTGTGCCACTATCAGTAAAACTAATCAAAATACATTGTCATGGTAACGAGAGCATTAAGATTTTCAATTTGTGTGATCAGTTTCTAGTTATGTTTCATTTTATTTGGTTTCAAACAGTCCTTACTCTAGCGTTGGTATCTGACACCCAAATATCAAATAAAAAATCTGAATAACTTAATTTATCCGTTAGGGTCTTAATTTGTGCAAAGGCATCAGTAGATGCACAACACATAACCAGACTGACAACAAACAAAGCGTAAACAACAAATTATTAACAGCCCAAATTTATTTCTCCATCAAACCCAAATTTGACCAACATTTGGTGCTTGGTGGTGTTAATTTTTTCTGTTCTCCCTATTGAGCAAATTATTGTTTGTGTTCTGTTTGTTCTCTTTTGTTTGGGTCCTGATATCCTGATTATATTATGACATAAAGTGTCAGTAGTGTCGGTACCCTGTAGTGGTTCGGTCCCTGTAGTGTCCGTACCGTTAGTATTCTAACTTGATGCTGTTTGTGTTGTCAGAGTCGTAAACTGGATGTTTACTTTGAGTATGAAGAGAAACTGATGAGCAAGTCGACTTTAGACAAATCACTGCTGGACATCATCAGCGACCCAGATGGTACACACACACCATACACAACCACCACACACACACACACACACACACACACTGTGATATTACAAAATAAGAGCCAGACTGAGACCAGACAAACTAAATTGTGTGTGAATGTTTGTGTTTCTCAGCCGGCACCCCAGAAGACAAAATGAGACTTTTCCTCATCTACTACATCGCTGCTCTGCAGGCTCCGTCAGAGGTAACACACACTGACTGATAATTATATACAATAACAACAACAACATTCATACACCAACATGAAAAACAAAATGAAAGATTTGACACATGGTAGAATTAAACTGAGAAAAGTAAGGCTATTTAAACAACAATAAATGGGTCAACTCACAACTTTTAATGCAGTTAAGTATAGAAAGATTAAAGCTATCAACAGATTATTCTTTTAAAACCGTTTCATGTCTTTTCTCTAAAATTTTAGATACAATTTATCACAGAAAATGTACAGTCCATCTTGAGCAGGACATGGAAAGAATGATAAAGGGTTAAAGCAGCTTTTATTTTCAAAGCGTAGCAGTGGGTTTGAAATTACAGCTTCAGCATTTTTAGCTTTTTCTTCATGGGAGAGCTGCGATGGAAGAACCCCAAGACCTTCAACAGGTCTTAAGGAGGAATATTGATTCACACATGCACTCAATATATCAAATTTCTGGAAGGTTGTGTCCTGAAGTCGTTTTTTTATTTCTTGTCTTTAATTCTTTGCGGCAGAATTAGATCCCCGAGGTACTGAAACCCAGATCTCAAGATTACAAAACTACCAAACAATGAGAGCCACGTTTAAGATTCTGCAGTTGTTTTGTTTATGTAAAACGGCTCCAGAGCGCTTCATAAGAAAGATTTTAAGGTACTTCTCATACAGAACAATTTCACATTTTAACATTTCAGCCTTTATCCACTCTCCAGCTACCGTCACATTGTAATGACTGTTGTATTCAGTGGTGAAAGAAGGTTCATCTTACAATCTTGAAGAAGTACTCTTACTTTAAAGGTCCAGTGTGTGCGATTTAGTGGCATCTAGTGGTGAAGTTGCAGATTGAAGCCAACAGTGGCCACAAAACCTGCAGAAAACGCTAACACCCCTATGTGAAGCCAGTGTTCGGTTTGTCCATTCTTGTCCCACGTAGTAAAAGAACTGCAGGTGTTTTATAAGTATCATGCAGACCTAACAATGATTCCTTTGACAACAACGTAAGTGTAACTAATAAAATCCATGAGTGTGTCCGCTTCTTTCTGCCTATTTCCAAATATTTTCCATTTTAAGGAAGGCATTTTCATTTCAAATCCACGTCATTGACACTCCAAAAACTCGCCAAAATCGGAGAGTATCCAAACCGCTGCTCTGTTGATGCGGACAGGCCGCCTCCAGAAGTGTGTTATTGGATCTTGTCATCACATTTTACAGAGACGGCTAACCAGTGTGAGTCACCAAACCACCCCTGCGCCGACTTAACCAAAACCGGCACCACCTGGCTCTTACAACTCAGCTGTTCTCTTAAAGTTAAGACCACATCAACGAAGGACCTTCAGATCAAGTCAACTTGCTAACCCGACACAGCGAGAACACAAATAAGTCACTTTAGGCAATGTTAGCAAAAGTTAGCTTTCTAATGATTGATGTAGATTACCTAGTTAGTTAGCTAGTCTATCACTAACATAGACTAGCTATTGACTGTTTTAACCATCTTCAAAATGTGGTTGTCTTTTCAACATTGAGCGTAGCACATAGCACATCTAAGTACAGGAATACAGTTTTCCAGCCCACAAAGACGCACAGGTTGTCCGATTGGTGATTTACAGGACCAGATAATTCTCCAGTGCAGCCTTAATATCTCAAGCACCGTACTGGTGATGTTGCATGCCTTTAGCACATCAAAAGCTTCCTTTCCTAAAAACAGATGATTTGATCATCTGTTTTTAGATCAATTTCAGCCTCCCAGGCAGCCATTTATTTCACTTCATTTCTATGCAAATTAACTTTAAAAACTTTGTGAACATTCCTTGGCGGTGTGTTCAAGGACACTCACACATCCAGTAATTTAAAGTTGGCAGCTGAAAACTGTCGTCCAGTTGGTCAAACCAACCTGATGCGGTTAAAGGAACCACTTAAATGCAGTAATTTCTTGCATTAAAACAGATGAATCTGTTTTTCAAACAGTCTGTGCTTGCACCTTGCACTGCCCACAAGCCCTGCAGTCAGAAAGCTGTGAGACAAGTAGAATCAAAGAGTTAGCAGCGGGAGATAATTACTGTGTTCTGGGATGTATTAGAAGTAGTTTGAGAGCAGGGATGATTCAGCGGTGTGACGGTGACGTGAGGGTTGCGGTTCAGTTTGTTGTCCTCGCTGTGGTTCAGTTCTGTCAAAATAAAACCTCACACTGAAGGAGAAAACTGACTCTGGGGGGAACTCTGCGGTTCAGTGTTTACTTCCAAGAACAAAGGAAGGGACACTGGGGAAAGTAGAAGATTTGAGGAGACAGGAAAATGAAAAACACAGCATGACAATGCTCCTCATTCTTCTCCGGAGTTAAGAGACTGTTCGCACCGTCACAGAGGGACAAGCATACCTTAAATGGCAAATTATTTCTGTAGTCTTGTACATTTAATCTTAAAGAAGCATTATGTAAGATTTGGTATTGTGGTAAATATGGACAGCTGTATATTTGATTACATTACTTATGATCAGAAACTAGCGACTTGCTAACATCAAGCAAGTGCAACAACACAATACATAGCAAGTAGCTTATATTACTGACTAATCCATCAGCAAGAAGGCCAGCTCGCCTTCTGTTTGCAGACTTTCATTTCACATTTATTCTTGTCCAGGGGCATCTCTCTCCTCTTCTGTTCTTAGCTTCCTCTTTCAGCATCCTCTTAGCTCTCTGAGCTTCTGACATTAGCTCTATCCATAGAAGTTGCTGAACCTGGTTGCACTGACCACATGCCCGGCTCCGGTTCTGGCACAACCAGCGCATTCCTGAAATCTTCCTCTTCCCGGCCGTCCAAAGCATTAAAATGATACTGACGCTGTTAATTTAAGGTATAAAATGTACATAATGTTGCTATGAAAACACAGCTTGAGACCAACTATCAGTGTTGATGGGGGGCAGTTGGATTTTGTGTCACTTTGAAAAGCTCTGGTCCAAAACAAACACATCAGTCCTTCTTTGCAGAAGTGATAACAAAACTAATAGCGTTGGGTCTCAAATTTTGGCTTCAGGACTTTATTGTAGTGGTGTTGGTCTTAAATGCATCGGCATTGACCAGGTTTGGCTCTCCAGCAGCTACATTTAATTAATTCCAGAGCTGGTACTTTTTACGTGAGCACATTGTGTTTTCTTTCAACTATCATACACACAAACAAAGTGTGTTTACAGAGAGGTAATGAGAGAAAGAATGAGACATTACGCTACAATAAACTACGTCTATGATTTCAGGAACAGCTGTAACTTTAGGCTACTGCTGGTCATCCATCAGTGAGAGTTAGCGGAGAATCTGCCAGGTCTTTACTGATTATGTAAGACGACATAGAGGCGACCAACTCAGCAAAACCACTCTGCTCTTAGTTAGCATGAGACAAAACTCTTTTTAATATCTTGAATTTCCGCCCCTATGTTTGACAGATAAAGGGTGGTAATTTGTCTCTTTACAGATAACAGAAGCTTGAATTCCACTCGGTCATAATTTACTATAATAAGTTAAAGTAATAACGGTAGTACAAATAAATCTGAATATCAGTTGAAACTTCTTCAACAGATATGGCAGCGTAACCACTTGTTGTCCATCTGTGTGATCACTGTGTTCCAAACTTTCATATTTATGGCCAAATACACCGCTTCTGTTTGACATAAAAGATATTTTAACATAATATGACTTTTAAAGTATGATTTTTTTTGGCCTTTTATGCCTTTATTTAACAGAGATAGCTGGAGAGAGACAGNNGCAAAGGGCCGCAGGTCAGACTCGAACCTGGGCCTCGAATCCTTAATTACAGAAACAGTTGATCAGTCAAACCTTTTCAGGTTGAATTAAGAATGAGGGCATTGTTGGCTACTAAGCTATTTCCTTATAGAGACAAAATAAGACCTAAATGGCCACAAACCATCTGCACAGGTTGTTGTATGTCGACATATAACAACATGAAATAACAACTCTTAAATCAACATATTTCTTTGGTCGACATATTTAACGTTTGGCTACCAAAGGTCCTGTGTGAACTGAAAATTACATCAGATACCCACCAGGGCCAAGGCATTTTGAGTTCAGAGCCTGATATCAAATCAGTTTTTTGCGTTTTGACAGCCAAAGAACCGGCTCT